GAACAGGATGTAAGGACGTGCAGATTGAAAGAAGTTGTCACGGTGTTTTCAAAAAAGTCTTTAAATAATAAGAAACATATGCAGGGTGAGATAAAAACAAGTAAAAAAGCTGTAAGTTCGGCCGGGCCGAACTTTGAATACCCTCCACCATTTAGAACGAATTTGAAAATTTCCAAAAAAATAAATTCCATTAAAAATTCTGTTAAAATCTTAAAAATACCGAATGTAGCCGTATATCAGGGTCTATACGACGACGTGGACCTGCATAGGCAACTTTTGTCACAAACTATTACAATATTCAAATGCAAAATTGAAAAAATAAAATCTGTTTGTAATGAACTAAAATCATCAAAATACCGAATATAGGGAGGTACCATGGGGGTTATAAAACGATGACCTGCACAGTCAATTTTCTGGCATATGCTGTGTATCCTATACGAACTTCAAATGCCAAATTTTAAACAATTTCAGTGAATAAATTCGCTGAAATCATCAAAATGCCGAATATCCGGAGGGACTGTTATATGGGGGCTATACCAAAAAGTGGACCTACATGGCCCATTTTCAATACCAAACGTCCTGCAGGCATAATATACATTTGATTAAAAATGTATCAACTTATATTATTTCATTCGAAAGCTAGAGTGATTTCCACAGACGGACAGACGGATAGAAGGACAGACGGACGGACATTGCTAAATCGACATATAATTTTATGCTGATCAAGAATACATATACTTTATGGGGTCTAAAATGTATATTTCGAGGCGTTACAAACGGAATGACAGATTTAATATACCCTCAATGCTATGGTGGAGGGTATAAAATACTGCAACAAAGTCATACGCCATAATTTAATTTTTTTTTAAATTTTATTGAATGAAAGCAAAAAAATTCGGAAATAGCATAAAATTTTAGAATAAGTTTAGATTTTTTCGAATTGGTCACCTTTGGCACGAATTATGACCTTCACAAGGCCAATGAAACCGTCACACGCTGTCCGAATGTCGCCCTGCGGTATTTTGGCCCATTCCCGGCGAAGCCCTTGCCTGAGGTGATCAACACTTTGGTATTTTTTAGTGCCAACCTTGCTTTCCAAAACAAAATACAATAGTCCAACGGATTGGTATCCGGAGATTTTGGTGGCCATTGTGCTCTTAAAATTCAGCGAGGAGCTTCATTTTGTAACCATTCTTGGGTGGCGCGTGGATATATTTATACAGGATATTTTCGCTATAATATTCTGCATTTATTCTGATGCCACGGTACGAGAGGAGAGCGACCATCGGCTGTTATGGCGGCCTACACCATCACCATGGCCGGCGCTTGAGTTCTGCTGGCCAATCGAAGGTGCACATTTTCAGCTGACCTCTTTGGCAAGTAACTACGATAATTTTGTTTGTTTACAAACTGCTGGACAACAAATGTTTTCTCATAGGAGAAAACCAAATTGGGCTTTTTACCACTTTCGGCCAAGCGAAGCAACTCTTTAGCTCTTTTGAGTCTATTTTTTTCCGTTCCGGTGTAAGTCTTTTTTTTTTTTTTTTTTGAATTTCAATGGAATATTGCGATATGTCCAGCTCACGAGCCATTTTAGCTCGTCGGCCACTGCGACGCGGATTTCGATCAAGTCACTTCTTTACTTTTCGAACCATTTCTGCTGTTGTTGTTGTTTTCTTCTGTCCACTTCCTTGACGTCGGGCTACGCTATCAGCATCACGGTATCGTGCGATGGTCCGAGACACAAGAGACGCTTGAGTACCATCACGAATAACTTTTGTTTTCTGGAAAATTCTCACCAAAATGTTTTTGGACGCTTGTAAACAATATAATGAGCTGTCGCTGGAATAATTTTAACAGCTGTCGAACGATTGACTTAGAAATGAAAGCAGTCTGAAGTTAGTTGCAGTTTTCTCATCTCACACCGTATTTATTAACATTTTTTCGCTTCACTAAAAAATCGAAATACCAAATTAGTTAATCATTAAATAGACTAAAATTTCTAAGACCTACAAGTGACGCTATACAAAAAATTTGAATGAATAAAGATGTCTAGCCGTAAAAATGCTGGCAAAAAAAATTAACAATGATTACTCAATGAAAAGTTATATGTCATATTACAAACCTTTTGAATTAACTCCGAAGACTGTTGGCCTACAAAATCCATAATAGGAAAAATCACAGATGTCCTATTTGTGATCACTGTTCGCCATTTCACATTTTCGAAGTGAAAAATATTTTTCCAAGTAATCAAAGAAAAACGAAAATAAAACTGAGGCGAAAAAATAACAAAAGAAATGCAACAAATACAAGATATAGGCGACGACACTCTCAAAGTAAGAAGGGAAATTTTAATTAACGTAATTCGTATTCTATTGGTGAAAGGAAACACGGCCACAAATCTTGAGTAAAGTACTAAGTGTAATTAAATCGGATTGACTGGCCACAAGGCCAGTCATTGCCGTTTAACGTTAAACGAACAAAATGAGTTTTCGAATTAAGAATGACATTAAACAAAAAATAATAATAATATTCGAGAAAAAGTTTTAGGTCCTATTGAGGTAAAAAGAAACCTATGTCGACAACATCGAAACAACAGGCAATAAAAAAATACATATCAGTACTAATTTCAGAACAATAAGAAATTAAATGTATTATTAAACCCCCTTGTAAATCCAAATTTATTTTGGTTGATTTTTTTTTTTAATAATGCCATATATTCCAGCAAAATTCTATCCTTTGGTTTTTAACCAACGGCATTTGCGCTATATTTATGCCACTTGTCGTGCTGGTAGATTTTCAAAACAATTTTGTTGTGGTCTAATTTAACAGTTGGTCATTCAAAATTCTAGGCTTTCACGTCGATTGGTCTTGTGACCTGAAGAGAGATTGCAAACTTTGGAAAGTTTTCAGTTTTTGGTCTATTTCAACTTATAAAAAAACATCTTCCAAGGCCAGAATAAAGGTCCTAACACAGCCCCAGAGTTACGTGAGGTTTATTGGCATATTGTTTACATAAAAGTTATGGTATTATTTTACCAGCTAAATATTGCCCTAATGCCCACATTGGTAGGTCCTAAACTGTAACTCCATATAATCTTCCGCGTTGATTGGAGTAACTGTAGAACTGTAAAAACAAGAAAAATTTCCGTTTTTGGTCTATTTCAACCCCTACATATAATGCGATCCTCTCCAAAAACAATAGGCTGCACCTCGGACCCTAACCCCACCTTCATTTTCAATTTCGTGAGGATCGGACAATATTTGCGACCTGCAGCTTGCTTACAAATTAACATGGACAGACGGACGGACGAACATACATATCCAGATCGACGAAACCCAACATCTTTTCATAATCAAATTGGACACCACCGTATCAAAATCCTACAAACGAAGAGTGACCTCAATATCAAATTTCAGAATTTAAGCTTCATCTATTCACTCAGTGGCAAATTTAGTACTATTTAGTACCTTTTCGAACACTCATAGTACGCAATCCCAAATCCAACTCCTTTATAACAAATTTATTAAAGTACCTGCTATATCCTAAGATCCAATTCTACATTTTCTACCATACTTTTCATACAGTTGCACTACGAATGTCCAAAACTACCAACTTCTCTTCACGCAAGACACCAACAGTAACCTCGATACCAAATTTCAGAATTCCATTTCTATGCCAACCCCCAACCACACATTTTGTGGATTTTGCACTTTTCGTACGTTCTTAGTATGAATCTATAATACCACTAATATAAAATTTTAGGCTTTTAGCCCTATCCTTTCACCCAATACCAAATTTAGTGTCATTTAGTACTTTTCGTACAAATATAGGTCTTATTTTCTAAGCCACCGCCAAAGCTCAAATACAGACACCATCAGTAATTCAACTTTCAAATTTCTAAATTGTATCTCTATTCCTTCACCAAATACCAGATAAAGCATCATTTAGTACTTTTCGTAACGTTATAGTACACATTTCAAAGCCCACTTCTTTATCGCAAACCTACCACCAAAAGGGCCCCCAATACACAATTTTAAAATTCCAGGTTCATCCGTTCACCCTAAACCAGACTGAACCAAATTTAGTACCAAATAGTATAGTTCGCTCACATGATTCTCATACCCAATTCCAAGTTTTAGATCTATTGTCTAAAATACACTGTATGTATGTGGGAAAATTAACTGACGACTTGCCTTGATCGGCTGCAAAGGGATTTCTGCTCAGGATACCAGAGGTCTGAACCTGATGCAGTTCGAGTTTCAAGCTAACAATTCATCACGCTATAACACGGAAGTTCGACTCCTGGCGAATGAGAACTTCGGTGTTCTTACACAACAAGTTCATCTCCAAAGGAACTTCCGACATCACCAATTTTCGGATTTTGGAGAGAGTTTTAGAAGCATTAAAGAAAATACCGAAAATTCCACTCCCTTCACACTTTGATACGAAGTCCTTCGTCCTTTCGGCCGCACATTTCATTCATTGACATGCCCTGCATATGTAACTATGTATGGAAAGCAAACTTTTTAGCAAACAAACTAGTCATAAGAATTCTATAAATATTTCATATGTTTAATTGCTTACATGGCTACCTGTCGAAAGGTGACAGCCAACAAGTTGATTGATGTCAGAATAAAAGTCAATTTTGTGTACTCATGTCTCACGCCCCAAGTCTTTGCTAACAAAAAAATCAATTGTCAATAATAACGATGGAACACCGGGTCGTATTATGAATGACCCACAAAATATCCAACATATTTTATTTATCATACGCACCATACAACGACCTCCATACAATATGTGTGCTTAACAAATAATAAAACAATTGTAATTAAACATATTTTATTATAACAATAAATGTGAATTGTAATTCAATATTTCACATTCGAATTGAATCATGTCATTCATTGTCCATTGCTATAACATTAAACATTTTATTTCTCCGTGTGTAACTAATTAAATTTTTTTATGTATTTTTTTTGGTCATTCTTTGCAGGCTTTCATTATGCAAATTGTAAAACGCTGTAATCAATTATGACATCAATTGTAACAATCGCCAGCTCTGTTCTGTACGTTTTTTAATTGAATTATCAAACAAAAAACCGGGGAAAATAGCAATACAATTTTAATAAGAACATTCAAATAGTCGACTACTGGAAAAATAACCCAAGGCTAGATTACAGGCATACGATAAAGTCCACACTAACTCTCTTTTTGCCGACTTAACAAAGAAAATGAACCAGTCGACCGTAACATGAAAGTCATTTAGTCAATCAATAAACGTCAATTCACAAAAGAAGAGCAAGAAGAAGAAGAAGTAGAAGTTTCGCCAACCTACAAACAAACAAACAGGCCAAAACGAAAAGCACATACACCTCTTTGCCACAGAGGGACGGCGGATATACATACCACACAAAAGCCATTAAGCTATTTTGGCCACAACGAATTACAACAAACAATACCACAACAACAAAAATAACAACAACTGTATGGAATTCGGCCGTAATCAATAAAGCTACCTCCCTCGCCCCTCTAGAGACACTATCACCTTGAGCTCACCGAGTCGCCAAAGAACAGGACAAAAAACGTCAACATGGGAAAGAAAAGTTCAAAATTGAAACAGGAGACGATCGATCGTCTGACAACGGATACCTACTGTAAGTAATTGTTTGATTTAATTAAATTATTAAATATAATTGTTTATTGAATGAGGGGGATATTTAGAAGTATACTGAGGACTTTGCGTTGGTTTATATAATTGGTTCAGTCTTGTTGTTTGCTGTACTTTGTATTGGGTATCAGAGTCGACAAAATAATTCAAAATTTCATAAAAATCTTGAATATTTGTCAAATTAGGAGCGGTCGTAGGATTTTAGACACAAAATAAAAATTGTCAAAATTGTTGTTGCAAAATAGTTAGGGTTAATCCCATTATTGTTATTTTTATAAAAACAACGTCTGTTTATTATTGAAAAAATATGGTAATGTTTAACAGGGTGTTAGGAAGGGAATACTTAGGTTTCGAAAAGTAAAACTTTTTTGCCCACTTAAAAGTGCGTTGTAAGATTTTGAAGATTTTCCAAAAGAATCTTGGTTTAATATAATTATTTGGTTCATCTTCTATGAGGTTACGATCTCGACACCTGGGTAAAAAAAGTTTATTTGTCATAGTTTTTTTTTTTTTTTTTTTTAATAACTTCTGGGGAGAATATCCCAGACAAAAATGAGGGAAATTGTAAGGTTTAAATTGTCTTCAACATTTACAACATCAAAAACATACCGGAATATTCGGTTAATAAAGTTGTTCTGAAATATACACACCATTAGCAAAGTCAAAATTGCTATTCAATTGGTACGGTGATGTTACTCCTCATTTTCATTTAGAAAGTTGTTTGAAGTACAGATTTGCAGAAAAATCGATTAGAAAATTTGGCTATGGCCACAGAAAACTTAAAAAACTTTACCTGTTCGGAAATATAGAAAAAATATAAAATGAACAAATTAGAAAGTATAGTTGACAATTTTACACTTCAGCAATTTGGCACAATCAAGTAAAAATGCACAATGCTACTTCATGTATTCCCTTTATAATTTTAGAAAAAAGCGATCAGTTTTCTGTATATTCCGAATTTCGAAAATTCAGTACAATAATGCGGCAAAAAAAAATAAAAAAACAGTAAGTTCCGCCAGGCCCCCAACCACTTGGAAGGAATTTTCAATGTTTTAAAAAAATCCATTGAAAAATACTGCTAAAAAATTGTGACAAAAATCATCAAAATGCCGAATATTTGGAGGTAGAGTTTTATGGGGACTATATCAAAATTTAGACCTACAGTACATTTATGTATATGAGGGTTAACCCACTGGATTTGGATTTAAATTGTCATATCCATTACTTTTACTTCAAATAAATCCTCTCAAAGTAGGTTAACCCTACAAAAAGTTCTAACGTAAACATGGCACTACAGTGACAGTTTCACGCAAGGAAGTTTCTTACATAATGGGGAACATTTTACCAATTTACAGAAAATCTGGTTTAAAATTGTGAATAGAGCTGTTAATAGGCCTTAAATCTGTCGGTACAGTTATATGGGGGCTATACCAATCTTTGGACCCATATAGCTAATTTTCAATACCACTAGTCTTGCAGAACAAACATACATCTGATTTAAACTTTATAAACCTGTTTCATTTCGTTCGGAAGCTAGATTAATTTAAACAGACGGACAGAAAAACGGATCATCGTTAAATCGACATAGAATTTTATGGTACATCGTAATATTTTTATCAAACTTAGATCGAGTTCGGAGATGAAAAATTTGGGTCCATTCCTCCTGGTTTTATTTGGCTGGAAAACCACAAGTGGCTATCGTTAGAGCACTCCAGCATTTAAATGTGAATAAATCGTTTGTGTCTCGTACCATTGCTCGTTACCGCGATACTGGTGGCGTAGCCCGACGTCAAGGTAGTGGACGGAAGAAAACAGCAACATCAGCAGAAATGGTTGGAAAAGTAAATAAGCGACTTGATCTAAGTCCGCGTCGCAATGGCTGAAAAATGGCTCGTGAGCTAAACATATAGCAATATTCCATTCGGCAAATATTGAAAAATGAGTTTGGAGTAAAGCCACTGAAATTCCTAAAAGAGCAAGCACTTAAACCACAACAGAAAGAAAATAGACTCAAAAGAGCTAATATACTGCTCATATACTGCCGAATTTGGTTTTCTTCGATGAGAAAACATTCGTAGTCCAGCAGTTTATAAACAAGCAAAATGATTGTGTTTACTTGCCAAAGAGGTCAGCTGAAAATGTACACTTTCGGTTGGCCACCAGAACTCAAGCGCCGGCCGTGGTGATGGTGTAGGCCACCATAACAGCCGATGGTCGCTCTCCGCTCGTATTAATCGACCGTGGCATCAGAATAAATGCCGGATATAATCACGAAAATATTCTGGAGGGTGTATTAAAGCATTGGCCACGCACACATTTTGGCCGCACACCTTTTATATTCTTACAGGACTCAGCAACATCGCACTCAGCACGCGCCACCCGATAGTGGTTACAAAATGGGGTTCCAGCACACAATGGCTACCAAAATCTCCGGATCCCAATCCGTTGGACTATTGTGTCTGGAGTATTTTGGAAAGCAAGGTATTAAAAAATACCAAAGTGTCGATCACCTCAAGCAAGTGCTTCGCCTGGAATGGGCCAAAATACCGCAGAGCAAAATTCGGGCAGCGTGTATGGGAGCACCAACCGTTTTCGGTATTTTGATGATTTTCGTCACATTTTTCTACGGATTTGTCTTAAAGTTGGTATTTGTTGGTCATAATGGGTTGTAGCTCCGGTGACCGATGATTGTTTGTATGTGTCCACGTTTTTGTGTAGCCCCCATATGAAGGGCTCACAGCTATACCGAACTAAGTCATAAAAACATAATTAGAAGATATTTAGAGGTAAAATAAATGCACTGCCATTAATTTCTGGAAGGAATATTTTAGTCTACCAAATGAAAATGTAAAAGTCTATATTCAAAATTAACTAATGATATTAATTTAAAATAAGAATAAATTAAATATATAACTAAAAAGATATTCAAAAACAAAAAAAATCTACTTTGGTTCATTATTACTCTGAATAAAATTTCAAGGTTTCACAGCTAAAGCGAACCAAATCAAAAAAATAAAATAAAGTGTTCGTTATATGACTAAATATAGTTAACTTAACCGATTAATTTCCCACTAGTTTCGGAGTTTTATTTTAAGTCATGTCTTGGTTTGGCGGCTGGCAGCTGCGGGTGCTTCTATTGTAATTGACAATCATTGTGATTTTTAGGAAAATAAAATAAAATCATTTTTTTTAATAAATTAATGTTAACAGAAGAGTAAGAAGAAATAAGAAGGTAAAGTCATGCAATTATATGTTTACATTTTTATACCCTTCACCATAGTATGGAGGGTATATTACGTTTGTAATTCCGTTCGTAACACCTCGAAATATACATTTTAGAACCCATAATATATTCTTGATCAGCATAAAATTCTATGTCGATTTAGCGAGGTACGTCCGGCTGTCCATCTGTTCGTCTGTGGAAATCACTCTAGCATCCGAACGAAATGAAGTAAGTTGATAAAAATTTACTCAAATGTGTATTATGTCTGCAGGACTTTTGGTATTGAAAATGGACCATGTAGGTGCACGTCTTCGTATAGCCCCCATGTAACGGTACCTCCCGATATGCGGTACTATTACCGGAACTATTTCAAATTTAGTATTTGAAGTTCGTAATGAATACTACAGCCTATGACTGCAAATTGTCTGTGCAGGTCCACGTCTTCGTATAGCCCCTAATATACGGTTACATTCGATATTTTTAAGATTTTAACAGAATTTTTAATGGATTTTAATTTTTTGAAAATTGCCAATTTTGTACCAAATGGTGGAAGGTATTGAAAGTTAGGCCCGGCCTTACCTACAGCTTTTTTTACTTGTTTTTTTCTTTTCAAAGATATGCATTTCACAACATCTCTTTGTCAAAATGTATATTTATAAATCCATTGTACATACAACTCAGAGATGGGAACCTGCTTTCTAGGCAGGGACATTTGACAGAGTAAATTACACAAAATGCAGATATCGATATGCTTATTTGAAATGACTTTACCTTCTTAATTTTACCATGGTTTCAACACATATTTACAAATAAAAAATTCGTCATTTCCGTCATCATTTTTGGGGCTCATCTTCATTACTGGAAAAATCACTAGCACTGCTATTATTACTATCCATTTATAGAAAACACTGAATTTTTAATAGTGCTGATTCAAAGTGAAACACACTGACTTGGTTCATTTTTGCTTTAAAAAAAGTCTAAAATGGCATTCGTTGACTTTGGTTTTTTACCGTCATCTTTGGAACGAAACACTTTTTGACATTGTGCTTTACAGGGTAAACAGCGTTTCCATATACGGGAACATTGACACTAATTTCAGCATTTTTTATTTTTCATGACTTGGTTCGGTATAGCAGTGAGCCCTCCATATAATGGTACCTCCGAATATTCGGTATTTCGATAATTTTCGCGAAAATTTTCCACGGATTTTTCTAAAAATCGGTATTTATAGTTCATAATGGGTTCTAGCTCCGATGGCAAAACACTGAAAACTTAGGTCCATGTTTTCCTATACCTCAAATATAACGCTACCCACCGATATTCGATAATCCTAGTCACATCTACCTATGACTTTATTTCAATTTGGTATTTAAGAAGATATGGTAGATGACAATCCCTAAAATATAAAATTGTGTATAATGTTCCCGTTTTGGTATGGCCCTCCATATACGGCCTCACTCACTATAAGGTTATATGGAAAGCTTAACAGCATTATCCCAACGATCTTACTGGTATTTGTAGTTTAAAGTGGAACACATTTGAATTATGATACTATTATATAGAAATGTTTTCTTTACTCAATCCATGTTTGGATATTTTGAGGACCTTAACATCTTTTTTCGACTGGAGGGGATAAAATCCAGTATTTTTACATATTGATTAAAAAAATTTTTTCCCCATGAATGGTCTCAACTTTTAATGAAACCCTCATAGAGTACTAACATTTGGTTATCCTTACCAAATGCCAATTTTTTGCCAATGCC